TGCCCTCTATAGGATATGTGTCATGTAAGGAAAAAGCATGTGTTCTATCCATAAGGTTATCATACACACACATGCACACACAGACATGAAAGTACTTAAAAAGCTCATGAGAAATGGAATGTTTTTGAAATCAAAACATTGTAAATTCATGAACAGGTTTTTCATAACATGTATTTTCATGAAGTTTTTGAAGATCCCTCATACATATTCTTTTATCTATCAGATACTATTACTAATAAATATTCCTAATGTTTCCTGTGTTGATGTCATTTCACATTCTCTCCTTATTCTACTTTGAGGATGGTGGCAGATGCACACAAAAAACATGCATCACAATTCAAATAGAGCCAGGTCTAGGAACAATTAACTGAGTCCTGAATGGATGTATGGGATTTAGACATGAGGTGCAAAGACAAAGGCCATTAGATCCCTGTGAAGGTGTCAACTGAAACTGAAATAGACTATCTTGGAAAAGTCATGAACAACTGGCTGGATCACCTAGTGGGGATAATTAAATATGAGAAAGCAACTCTTGGGATATAATTTTTCTTCAGTAGACCTTTTGTATTGAGAACTTCATGCCTGATACCTGTATTAATGTGTCATTAATTTTTGTAAGCAATTCATAAAATACTCAAATTCTAATTTAAAGAGCACATGAAGTATTTATACATAATATATATGTACCTTAAATGTTATATAACTGCTATATTTTTCTTAAAACTAGAATTCACCTATACTTAAAATATCATATTAAGTTCAGGTAATTCAATCCCTAAAGTGACTAATACATTGCATGAACACATTTTTCTTCATACTGAGTGAAGTGTTGCATAATATCAACTGTCAACTGCAAGTTTTTGTTCTATCCTCTAAAGGGAGACTGAAAAAAATCAACAATTTTCCATATGACATCTCTTTCAAGTCTTTGAAAATATCTATCACATTTATCTTTGATATCTTTTAAAGGCTATACAGTCAATTATTTCACTATTTTATGTGATTTCTTTGCAAATATTTTAGTTTCATGGATTCTTAATTTGTAAGCACAATTAATGGTAACATGCATATTTTTCTAATTGGGACATTACATAAAAGAGACTATTATCTCTTAGATTCAGGATGATAACTTTAATTTACTCTAACATTGTTATATTGCAAGTTGTATACTTATGTGGAAATCATATAGATTTGACAACACAAATATTTTCCAATATATTTAAATAAATTAATGCTTAATAAATTTAAAATATTGCATTTTAGGCAAGGATTCTTAGGAATTTTGAATTTTGAATAATAAAATCCCTAGTTATATCACATGGCATCTTTTAGTGTCTACTACTTGGGAAACCCAGTAAAATGCCACTGCCTATTAACTTGGAAATATTATACCTACAACACATAATCAATTAGAACAGAAATATGCAAAATTTACTTTATATATATATATATATATACTAGCAAACTGAAATAAGATTAAATTAATCTGAAAACAATGTATCAACCAAAAGAGGATTTGATAACCAGATAATTCACATGTAATCCCTATGTATGAGAATAGGAAAGAGAGAGGCAAGTGAAATTTACAGGAAAATTCTTCAACAATCATGTAGTTCCAATAAAGTTTTATCAAGGCCAAAGGGGAGTCATAGAGCCAAAATCACCTGTTAGCAGAATCCTTCATTTCATTGGACTTACCCTCCATATTGGGTCAATGAGTCATTTTAGTGGCTGTTGGGACCACCGAACAGCCTGAATTCTACTGAAGGCATGCTTAGCCATATTGCAAAGGTTATCTGTCAAGTTATGTCGACAATGGCAAAAGTCATTTGACATGCTGCTGAAGCAGCTAAGGAAATGTTGTTGGCTCCAGTAAACAGCAAGTGGGATGTTCACTCCCTTTAATAATTAGCCCCCTTCAAAACCCCTCTACATTTTCATTGTTCTCTTAATCCTAGCTTCCAAGCAAACAAGTCTTTCCTGTAAACACCAAAACTCCCCATTGTTCCCTGTTTCACTATGTTTAAACTCCATCATCACAAAATCCTGTTTTCATGAAACTGCACATTCTTTATGATTAATCGATCAGAACATCATTAATAATAATACTTGGAGTAACCAGATATCTGAGTCTCTGCTTCTGCCTCCACCTTTGGCACCAGACAGTGTCTCTTGGTTTCCCACATTTAAATCTTTAATCTGAGTCTGCTTCCTTAATTGATGGGATGTCATCTCTCTTTCAGGTTAACCTGACACCCTGCCATCCTGGATGTAGCAAGTGGCCTTGATATGAACATGGTAATGGAATCAAAGACCAGTAACAAAGACCATCAGTCAAATATAGTTTTTGAAAAAGAATATATGAGGCTGGTTCAAAGATAGTGGAATAGGGAGGGAGCTTACTGACCTAGTCCAGGAGAAGATAGTTTAATAAAAGTGAAGATAGTGTAGTTTCAGGGAAGAGTTAGGGAAAAAACAGCAGAGGAAACTCTTCCATTATTAGAGGGACAGGGTGGACCTAAGTGGAGAGCGTGGGTGGCCATGGCTTGAGACTCCAGCTGCAGAGAGCCTCCACACCAGCGCTGGAAAGTGAGGTGAGAGGAGACTGCAGTAGCCCAAGACACTGGTGGAAAAGTGGCAGGAAGAGCCTCGAAGAAATGAGGCTTAAAGCCCTGTGGGGGAAAGTGCACCAGCCTACTAGAGGAGACAAAAAAATAAAAGGGACAGTAAAGACACAATTCTCTCTCTCCAATCACCCTACAAAGTTATACAAGCCGATAGAGCAGGGGCCATTTTGGGCATACAAAACAGCTATGCCAGCTCGTGTATGCACCTGGCAATCAGCAAAGCAGAGAAACCTGACTCTGATGGGTAGTAATAACTGGAGGCTAAGACCTAGTGACTGTATAGAACTTCTGAACCGGGACTGTGAAAAAAAAAAAAAAAAACTGAGCGTGTGTGGGAGAACTCACTGTATGGCTGAGACTGTGAGTAGTCTTGGTGGAGATGCCACAAGCTCAGGCGGCTCCCTGGTGAGAGACATTGCAGGGGAATCTGAACTTATACTGAGGACTGCACAGATCATTTCTGTGGTCCCTGGGACAGAGTAGACGAGTATTATACCCACTGGGGCTAGCACTCAGGCACTGATCTTCATTGAGAAGAGCTCAGTTGAGTGGAATTACTTCCCTTCTGATTAAAACAGAGAGATTTACCATGCCAAACCTGGGTGTGTCACCTTAGGCACACCATTAAACCTGAAGAACTGAACATAGCTCTCTGGCCACATCCACCACAAGCCCCTAGAGATTCACTGAAAGCAGACAATCCACTTAACTACAGAGTCATAGTACAATGATAAAAACCACCACAGCAGGAAAAAAAAAAAAAAGAAGAAACCAACAAGCATCTCCACAACTGCTGAACAACAAACACAAAAATCCAAGAAACAAGAATAAGGAAGACAACATGATGCTCCCAAAAGAACATCACACTTCAATACAAGATTATGAAGAACGAGATAGAAGAAATTTAAGAAATGGAACTCAAAAGATTGATAAGAATACTTAAAAGTAATAAAAAAAAACACACATGAACTACTGAAAGTAATGGAGGACATGAAAGAAAAGCTCTCTCAAGAAAATGAAATCCTAAGAAGGAATCAAAATGAAATGAAGAATTCAATAGAACATGAAATTGAGATATTGAAATCAAAATGAAATGAAGAATTCAATAGAACAAATACAAAATGCAATCGAGAGCCTTAAAAACAGAATCATTAAGGCAGAAGAGAGAATATCAGATTTAGAAGACAAAGCACAAGGCCGGCGCCGCGGCTCACTAAGCTAATCCTCCGCCTTGCAGCGCCGGCACACCGGGTTCTAGTCCCAGACGGGGCGCCGGATTCTGTCCCGGTTGCCCCTCTTCCAGGCCAGCTCTCTGCTGTGGCCCGGGAGTGCCGTGGAGGATGGCCCAGGTCCTTGGGTCCTGCGCCCTCATGAGAGACCAGGAGAAGCACCTGGCTCCTGGTTTTGGATCAGCATGGTGCGCTGGCCGCAGTGCACTGGACGGAGCGGCCATTGGGGGGTGAACCAATGGAAAAGGTAGACCTTTCTCTGTCTCTGTCTCTCACTGTCCACTCTGCCTGTCAAAAAAAAAAAAAAAAAAAAAAAAAAAGGAAGACAAAATATACAGTCAAACCAAAGAAATGAAGAGGAAATTAGAAATCTAAAAAATATTGTTGGGCATCTACAGGATACTATTTAAAAACCCAACAGTCGGGTTCTAGGAGTTCCTGAAGGCATGGAGAAAGAGAAAGGATTAAAAGGCCTTTTTAGTGAGACACTAGCAGAAAACGTCCTGGGTTTGGAGAAATAAAGAGACGTCCAAGCACAGGAAGCACACAGAACTCCCAATAGACATGACCAGAAAAGATTCTCTCCTCAATACATTGTAATCAAACTTAACCACAGTGAAACACAAAGAAAAGATTCTAAAATGTGCAAGAGAGAAATGGGTATTACTCTCAGAGGATCTCCAATTAGACTCACAGCAGAATTCTCATCAGAAACCCTACAGGCTAGGAGGGAATGGTGAGATATAGCCCAAGTACTGAGAGAAAAACTGCCAGCCCAGAATATTATATCCTGAAAAGCTCTCATTTGTGAATGAAGGTGAAATAAAGACTTTTCATAGCAAACAGACATTGAAAGAATTTGTCACCACTCATCCAGCCCTGCAAAAGATGCTTAAAGTTGTATTACACACAGAAACACAGGAACACGGTCATCAATAGAAGGTAAAGGAAGAAAATCTCTCAGTAAGAGATCACAGGAAGTTCAAACTATATATTAGAAATACCTTTGGAAAAATGGCAGGGCAAAGCCACTACTTATCAGTAGTCACATTGAATGTAAATGGCCTTTTAAAAATGACCTAAATGAAAGATCTCTGCGAGTGAGATCCAAGTAGAAAGAACGGGCCATCAAAGAAGGAGGTACCTTTCTCTGAAGGGAGGAGAGAACTTCCACTTTGATTATGGCCTTGCCTAAATAAGATCAGAGTTGCTGAATTCAAGAGGCTTCCATAGCTTTGGCAGCTCATGACAAGAGCTTCCGGTGATTACTGATGTCATAAATAAGAGTGTCAATTGTTAAATCAACAACACTACGCACTTACTTCCCATGTAGGATCTCTGTCCTTAATGTGTTGTACTATTTGAATTAACAGTAAAACTAGTCTTCAAACAGTACTTTTTACTTTGTGTGTCTGTGTGGGTGCAAACTGTTGAAAATTTTATTTAGTATATACTAAGTTGATCTTCTGTATATAAAGATAATTAAAATTAATCTTAATGAAGAATGGGATGGGAGAGGGAGTAGGAGATGGGATGGTTTGTGGGTCGGAGGTTGGTTATGGGTAGAAAAACAACTATAATCCAATGTTGTACTTATGAAATTTATATTAATAAAATCTTTCTAAAAAAACAAAGAATATAAACACATATTTACACAAAAAAGAGAGAAAGTATATATGAGAGGTTTATTTTCATGTTCACCACGTAAATTCACATGGATTTTTTTCCTACAGAAATGTCCTCAGAAGAAGAACCCAGAAACTTTGTGCTCCTAAATATTTTAAATTAGAGGACAAAATAATCTATTCCCAAAACTGAGTATTTAAGAAGTGACAGAATGCCTTATGTGGCTACTTAGAAAATTGGTAGTGTCATTGTTCACCTTTGTGACACTAGAGTCAATATTTTTGTTACAACGGGTGAACTGAATCTATCTCTACCACATGAGCTTTATAAGTTATTTAGCTCAGCATGACACAGAAAACTGAAGTCATAAGTCTCTTAAGTTCCATGACTGTTCTATTTATTATGAGGACTTGGTGTGAGTACTAGTTCCCATGATGTCTTTGCACTTTTCTATTTTCAAAAAAGGGGGAAATAACTGAAAGAGATGTTACTACTTTCATGAATACAGTGATATAAACCTTTCAAGATTGTTTTTGAATTTTTCATATTTTGCAAGTTATTTACATAGTTTCTTTGCTTGTGGACTACTTTATTCTAAAAGCTTCTCTTGCAAAAATAAAAACAGAATAGTTAATTCTGCATATGTGTTATTGAATCTATGTTCTAAACTTTATAAAAGTTAATCTAGTTGGTCCTTGTCTCATCAACTATTAACAATGACCTAAACATTTTAATGAATCACTACCTTAAGACATGCTGCCACCTAGTGCATGGAGACTGTATTGAAGAAGGTAATGGTCAAAGGTCAAAAGCCAAGGGCACAAAGTCAACCCTGTATTCAGTATCCAGGCCGTTACAGAAACTAATCAAGATACAAACCATTTAGGTTAACTTTTCCTACAAGTTTCAGGAAAGTCATTCTTGTTCCTGTGGAAGAGGTGTTGAGAAAAATGGTAAAAAATGTATCTAAATTGACACAAATGGCAAAAATGGACTTTGCTGCCAATTCATGTGGTCTATTCCTTGTGAACAAAAAAATTAAGATTTCCTGCCCTATTCTCACTAATAACTGAACTTTGTTTAAGTTTTTGGCTAGAATAGAAACAAGGGAGATCAAATGTTGATTATTTCTTCTATATCAGCGATTGATTTTTTGCAAAGATATAAAAAAATCATCTAATAAGCTCTATTCCTGAAGTGCTGATTGTAGCTTGCTGAGATACCCATTTCTGCTTGGAACATGGGATCACTCCATTGGGAGTTAGGTAATGGTGGGTAAGTGAAAGGGATTGAAGTAGGGTGAGAAACCCAATTATGGATCTGATCTTGTATAAAGGCTAGGGCACAAATATTGAAAAGGCTGTTTGGCAACTTTAGTTAAATGCATTAAACACAACAGTTTGGCAATGTAAATGATAAAATGACTTTTCTGTCCTACCTTTCAAAGAATCTGAGATCTAACCTTAGGGAAAAGACTTTGGGAAAATGTATTATTTTTAAGTTGGGGAACACCTGTAATCTTACTGTGAGATTGTGCCTTTATTGACAGTTGAAATTGAACTCTTGTGTCAAACAGAACTAGTTTAAGATAATAGCACTACCACTTTTAAGATGTGCAACCTTGCAGTGTATACAATTTTTAAATAAATATTTGCTTATCTGAAAAATGATCTTAAGAAAACCACACAATCCAACAAATTACAGTGAGAATTTAATCAGATGATGAGATATTAATTATGGAACACTCTTCATGACAAGTTTTTGTTAAAGAAAAAAAGCATCAATGTTTATTACTGTTTCTGTTGAAGAGAGCTGTATAGAAGTGGCATATAGTGAACATCTGTTGATTTTCATTTACTCTTTAATTCACATATTCACAGAAGCGGTCATACTGGTAAAACCATTACTTTAACTTTGAGGCATGTATTTTGAGGCAATAGGAAGTATCTTTCTCGATATTAAAATATCTTGAATTAAACAAAAACCTCACTAATAACAGGTTTGTAGTGGTACTGATCATCAGTAGGATATTGCAAGTTAATGTTTTTAATTTTGACTTGTTATTGAAATGTTGATGCAAATATTGCATAGTTACATTTTTAAACGATGCTTTCTTTATAGATGACAGCCCACATCAGGTGTTTATTGCTAGCAAAACTTTTGAAACAGCTCATATAGAAATAAAATATAAAATGAAAAGCCCTGGGATTGAAGATGCTATTGTTTCAAGCTGAAAGTTGGTCATGTTGCATCTATCTATATTGATGCTGTGCCTCTAAAGGCAACTTGGTAATCAGTAGTGGAAATGGAGAGTTTTTTTTTTTAAAGTTTCCAATTACCTGCCACATTTCAAAAAATAGTAAGTCTGTTTATGAAAACTACAAGCAATTTCTCTCTGCTGAGTTCTCCCACCATCATTTAATTTGAAAACAACATAAGAATTCTTTAATAATAATTTTTAAAAGTTTGCAGGAACACAGAAAGTTGTGATGCATTACACATATTTTTCTGGTTTATTTTTTAGAAAAGAGATAATCACATTTTTCTGGCTCTATAGGTATAAAGAACTATGTCCCCACCAATGTTCCAAGTGAATTATATTTCTTTATTTTGGCTAAAGTGCAAAAGTCTTACTGAAATAACTACAGGAACATATCTTAATTTTAATTTTATTTAATATAATCAATTTACATGAATTACTCCAGAAAAAAGTATTTGGTATCTGTCAGTGGATATAACCCAACACTACAAATCCTTGTGGGGACACAAGGATGAAATGCCTTGAAATACATCTTTGTAATAAGGCAAACTTTTATAGAACCACTTTAATTATCTTAGCCTACAGAAATTTCATCATCTGCTCCTTCTTGAAAGAAAAGATGTAATAAAATTTCATGCTTTATAGTGCTTTCTTCCCATAAGATTTGATGATATTCCACAAGTTTTCTTCAGAGTTATTGAGCTTTAAGTATCAAATACTTTATTCCCATATTACAGATGGTAAAAAACCATAACCTTAATAAAATTTCCTAAGGGATCACAGTAAGTTGATGGAGAAACTTAGAACTGAACTCAGATGAGAATAGACATTCTGGTTTCTCTTGTATGTGGCACAGAAGCACCTCAATAGAGCAATAACAGTTTAGCTTTAGATAGCCAGCATTATTGATTACTTTTCCTTACTGCCACAAAAATGTAAGTACAATACCATATGTGTGTTTCACACTCCTAGTTGTAAGCTCTACTTCTTTAGATTTTCTATTAAGAGAACCCAGTTGCCTTAGTTACAAGCATATCTCATTTTGTAGCACTTTTAGTGTGAGGGTATATGTAGGGGTAAAGGAGAAATACATGCAATGGGGTATAACAAAGTTTTGTTTTAATTGTAGCTGCATCAGTGTCTCATGATAATTGCATTAATATTTTCAAATAAATGAATATTACACTTAATACATAAATTTGCATTAAGTGAGCTTATTTATGTTGATGTGCAGGTAATCATCCTTATGGTAAGAGACAAAAAGGTAGTAAGTCTTTGAGTGGGTTTAACATTTAAAATACCATTCAGTTACCTGTCATTCCTTTTGTGCATAACAGACTCAATTCACATTCTGTTTAAGTAGATTTGCCTTTATAAAATTGGGCAAATTCTACTTATACCAAATAGCTCTGGCTTGTGACTGTGGAAGAAGGGTGCGGTCAAAGAAAGTACTGCAAAGCTTTGTAATTTAAAGAGGTCTTATTTTTTTTTCTATAGAGGGACCATTAACAGTTTCATTACTTCAGGGCATAATAGAACTCACAATTCCAAAGCCTTTTGAGAAACTCAAGGTTAATGAATGCGAATGAATTTCTATTACCTCTGATATTTTTAAATATTTTCTTGTGAACAAATGTAACAAAAGTGCCCTTAATGCATTTCTTGTGTTAAGACCATATTAATTTTAATACATCCATTTTATTTTATTTTTTAGTTTAATTTTTTTTAAAAAAATTTGTTATACAAGTTTCACATATTTCATATGTACAGATTTGGAACATACCCATGCTCCAAATCTTCTTCGTCTTCCCTTTCACATTCCCACTCTTGATTTTTACAAAGATCTATTTTCAGTGTACTTAATGCATTAAAAAAAAAAAAAGTAAAAGAGATCAACAAAAAGTTGAACCACACTGTTCTTCAACAGAAGAGACAAGGACTATAAAGTCATCAAATCTCAAAATGTCTATTTCATTCCAATACATTGCATTTCATGTACTCTATTAGTTACCTTGGATTAGGGAAAACATGATATCTGTCTTTTTGGGAATGACCTATTTCACTAAGTATAATGGTTTTCAGTTGCATCCATCTTGTTGCAAAAGGATTTTTTTAACTTTTTTTTTTTTTTTACAGCTGAGTAGTACTACATAGTATATATATATACCATATTTTCTTTATCCAGTCAACAGTTGCTGGACATCTGGGTTGATCCCATTTCTTAGCTATTGCGAATTGTGCTGCAATGAACATGGGGGTACAGATTAATCTTTCATATCCTGATTTCTTTTGGCTTGGGTAAATTGCCAGGAGTGGGATGGCTGGATCATATGGCAGATCTATATACAGATTTCTAACGTAGCTGCA